AAACAGATTGAATCAGCCAGCTCAGAGAAATAAACCTAAAATTCAATTACGGACAAAATTTTAATTTTTCTTTTCCCGATTATGCCTCCTCCCCCCACTTTTAACACTACGCTTGAGTCCATTGTTCAAAAAGATCCAGATTTATTATTAACAAATAAACCATCAATTGAACATTTTTTATCTAAATCATCGTATAATAATTAAAATTATACTTTACTAAGAAAAGTTGTTGTTTTTTATCAATCTTTATTTTACTATCAATTTGCATGACCATAAAAAAAGGAAGAAGAAAAAAAAAACAATGAAATTGAAACATCTCGAAAACCAAACAGATTGAATCAGTCCACAGAGGAAAGTGAAAGTCAACTAGAAGGATGGACGAATCATTTGAATTTTTCATTTACCTGTCTTTCTGGATGTACCACTTCCACCTCCCTACAACGCCAAAAGTACCATATAACAATACACATATCTGATTAACTTGAAGTCAGCAGATTTATTCTTTAGAATAGGGAATGAAGGGAAGGGGAGGCTTTGCGGTATAGTCTGTAACGAGTTTCTTCCAGAAGAAAAAAAAAAGAACGTAAAAGAAAATGAAGATCTTCCTCATCCGTAGAAAACTCTGTGTGGTTCCAATTGCGAATTTCTTTCTTTTGTTCTTATTCTGAGCCATTCCTCTTTTCGAAGTGAGACGCGGAGAATTCAATTAGAAAGTTAATCTATTCTCCCCAGAACTTCGACGGCAATTCACCCCTTTTGCTTTTGCCTTGTTGTTCTTTTTTCTATTCTTTTTCTAAACCGAAAGTTTGAACCTGGCGGAACACTGCCCCTACCAGTAGGGACTCTTAATCAATGACACTAAGATCTCGGGATAAACTTACCTCAATCCTAAAAGTTAAGACGTCCGTTGAAGATTCGAGAGAATAGAGCCTTTTCTGATTTGGCGTCTTTTCTGATTTGGCGTCGATGAGAATCAAGAGGGCATAAAAGCTCGCGAATGGGGTTTGAAATTAAATTGGCATTCTTGCCTGAGATAAATCTGGAAACAAATTGCGCCTTTTACAGGAAGAAATGAAAAGAGCAGTAAATACTATGCCATCTGCCTGTAGGATTATATTTTAGTTCAGTAAATGCTTGCGGGCTGTTCATAAATGAGATTCAAAATTTTCATTTTTAAGAAAAGGAAAATATTTCCGGAATATTCGAAAAATGTTCAAAAAGAACAAAATGTTCATGAAAGGACAAAATTAATTGAAATTGCGTTTTTGCATATGTACACATTCCTTTAAAGTTAGTGGTCTTCAATCTTTCGCGTCAACAATAATTCAAAAAATCACCATGTACTCCACATTTGCCATGTAACATAATTAAGTTATAGAAATTTATAATTTTATTAATACAAAAAGTTTAGAGTGATTTACTTTTTTACACGATCGTATTTAGATAATATTTAAAATGAAGCAAGAGAAGAATAAATTTATTATATACATATGTGTTGCTCTCTGAAACAGATGAAATATGGTGATACTGAAACACCATAACACATGCCAAAATCACAATAAGAATGTTTGTCATTTTAAACCAAATATGATTTCAACATAATTTTTATTAAACTAAATCAAGAAAATCATCTGCTCTTTCAAAATAGTTATAGTTGTAATTCTCAAAGTACGCTCTAAACGCTGAAAAGTCAAGCGTGTTCTTGCTTTCGATTTCATCAAACTTGACCATATGAGTCAAATGTATGTTTTTCTGTCTCAATAAAACAATATACAGCTTACACTTCGTCAATCTTATATAGAGCAACAGCTAATAATTATGCACTGATGCTGATCATATTTTTATCAAACATTTATTATAAATGAAATGAGATGATTCAGCGAGCCACTAAAATACCAGTATAATATCACTGTTGGCACGAGAACTATTAGTCGTGGTCCACGCGCAGAAGACCCCTATATTAAGAATTTTTAAGAAAATCTAATTTTCTCTGAATGGAATATGCAGAGAGTCAAAAAAGGTATGAAAATGATAAATTTTTTTGAGAAATGCTCATCGAATCACGAATTTAAGAGTACACGAATGAAATACCGAACCTGCCCCCGGGGTCAGAGACACTATATTTTTTACTGCAGCTTTGGATTTTGCTGAAAATGTATTCTGATTTGACTTGCTAGTTGATAAAGTAATTGGGTTAACAATGGAGTTATAATCAAAAAAACAGCATTACGATACAAGTTATTTAAAATTATTACGATGCAAGTTATTTTAACATATCTCGAGATGTGCATGTCAGATCGAAAATATAAAATTAGCTGAGTTTGATGTTTTAAAAAACTCGATCCCCAATTAGATACCCCGCCACGCCACCTGAGGTCTGAATGGCACTGCGAAGGGGGAGGAGTTTCGTAAAATTGAATGTATCTTTAAAAAAGGTTTTCCTCGTCTGTATTGAGATCTATTTATCGATTCCAATTTATCTACGTATTTGAACATTTCCATAATTTTTTGGACACTTTGTTTAATCAATAAATAACGGGTTGTTTGGAAGAAATTGCATCATGAAAGTATGATTATTTTTTCACATAGTCTGCTTGTTATTCTATAAAGTAATAATTATTTTACAGCAGATTATCGCAAGTTTTACAAGCGCATGTCAATGCATGAATTTGTTTTTAAAACGCTAAATAATTTCCTTAATGCAGTTTTAATAAATAAATTAACTTATTCTCCATTGAAATTCAACGATAATTCATCGCATAGTTTTTTTTATATATATTATTATGCCCCAAACCAAAAGCTATAATTAGAAAGACATACTCTGCCTGGGAACTATTTTAAATCAAGGATGCCAAGATCTCGGAATTAGCTCATTTCATTTCTAAGGTTAAAATGACAATGATGATTCAAAAACCTAACCATCAAGGATAAATTTACCTGATTTACCATTGATGAGGTTAAAGAGTTTATAAAAGCTCACTGACAGGAGTTGAAATTGAATTTTTTAATTTTGAAGTAGATGTACAGCTCCAAGAATGTATTAAACTGTGTTTCGGTTCCGAGAGCGTTAGCGTGCTGCTCGTGAAACAAAATTTCATAACTCACGCTTGTAGAGTGAACAACTTGGAAAATATTTCTGGATCAATATTCTGAAAGCATTTAATTTAGCCAATATTCTGAAAACATTTGAAGTATTCTAAAAGAAAATATCTTTTTGGAAGAAATAAGCAACGAATGCTCACAAACATTTCTTAGAAATAACGAATTTAAACTGTTTTATAATTACGAAATATTAATATACACTGAAACCTTACTGGTTTCTATGTCATGTATTGCAAGCTGATTTAAACAAAGATTAAGTATTTCTCTACACCATATCATTGTTTCATTAAGTAAAAAGTTTTTTTTTTTTAATTCTTCTGTTTTTTTTACCACACCGTAAATCCTGAATATAGGAGAACGGCACTAGTCAATGGAACAAACTGTTTGAATGCGTAGTTTAGCAATCCAAGAATCGTAATGATTTTAAAATTTAAAATGTTCAATCATCACATATTTCAAGCAATGAAATTTCATAAGTTATAAACTAAAAACGAAAAAAATGAACCAAAAAGTTCGTTGGAGCTCCTTGAAATTAAGAGACCTTATTTGAAAAAAGCAATCCATCTGAGGTGGAACCAAGATTTAAGAATAAATTTAGCTCAATCCACATTTACGCAGATTGATAATACGATGCATACCAAGGGTCGAAAATTTTATTATCCGGGTCATGTAAAAATTCCGACAGGGTATGCTACTATTTAATCTTAATACTCATATGAGAGAAGATTCCATTCAAATAAAAATTTCATCGTAATGCAGTTTGCCGATCGAGACAAGCAATAATCGAGTAAGCATTGATGGAGTAGGAACATTCAAGCCTTATCTTTAAACTAAAAATTAAATTTAAATTTCTATTATTAATACATAAAATTTAGAGAGTCAAAAATTAGTTTTTGTAGAATATCATCTATAATCACCCATTTAGAAAGTCAAAAAAAATTGCCTTTCAAACTTATCTGTCTATCAGCTTCCTGCTTTTAGGAAGGAATATATACATATCCACTTTTAAAACGATTAAAAAACAAAAACATTTTTTTTACAAGTCATGATTGTTAGACTTTTCATTAAAAGATACTTATCTCGAAATCTAGCAAGGTAACAGGATGAGAAATACGTCTTCCATCTTATAGGAACAATTAACGTTTAAAGCGTATCAAGTATTTCCTACATTTCGAAATATAGGAAGTTGACAAATTTTGACTTTTATTTACACATCTTACAAACCCAAAATTCAAGACAATTCTTTTAAAGATAATCAGTTTAAAACCTAATAAGAACACCTTGATTAATACGGCTTCCTTCTCCTAGCAGCACTTAACGATCAAACTATATTATCCTGTATTTGACAGGCTTTAAATCTATGCAAATTTGACAAATTTTGATTTCTTTTTATTAAACTAAAAATAAAACTTTAATATATTATCCTTACTAGCTTATAATTAAATGTAATAAAAGCCAAAATAATAATTTTCTATCTATTTATTTCTTTTATAATCAGCCATTTATTATGTAAAACAGTATGTTTCATTAACTCCTTTATCAGCTCATTACTCAATTTTCCTTTTTTAACTCATATATCATCGTTATTACTCATTATTTTATATAGCTAAAAAGAAAATTACTTCTTATAAGATTAACAAACAAAAATCACTTTTTACAAGCCAAGAACTGAAGACGATTCTTTTAAAGATAATTATCTTAAAATCTAATAAGAACACCTTGATAAATACGGCCTCCATCCCCTAGCAGCAGTTAACGACCAAATTGTACCACCAAACCTCACCAACTAGAGAAGCGAAAAAAAAATCACCAACTAAAATTACCAAGACCGTGAACTCTTTCAGCGCAGTTTCCAGTGAAGGAAATAAATCAGGATTACGTGGGGCGGTGCCGGATACCTGGAAGCAGGAACGATCCACCCTCACCCTCGTACCCGGGTAATCTTCCAATGCAGCAGGAGTCTCTCATTTGATCAGAAGTGTGATTTCTTTTTCCAGACGACGAGAATACGCTCCCTGCCCGCTTTGTTGCTCACCCTGCCACCAAGGGCCAAATTCAATCTACTGCATTAACGGGAAGGTGACGCCAACGGAAGAACTGGGGTTTTCATGCTACTCTCCTTTGTCTTTAGCAATCAAGTTGTCCTACCCCACGTCCCAATCACCCCTGAAGGTATTTCGGGCGATTTTGTTTTTATTGCCGACGTAGTCCCGTTTTATGGCCCGCTACCCGCTGGGTCTGTGATGTCTTATTGAATAGTGTAATGGCGATAGTCCGATAAATCATACAGCGATAACATTGTAATGGTATGGGGGCATGCCGTTTTTTCATTAAGGTGGATAAAGCAGTATTGAAGGAGTAAAACTTAGTTAAATCAATTTACGCTCCGACGAAACTGCTTTATAAAGTTTATATTCGTTTTATATCCTGAACAATTAGGTATAATGAAGATATCTTAGATATTACATCAAGATAAATCAATATTTTTTCTTCTTCGTGTTCAGTGTGCATTGTTTATATATGAGCTACGTAGTTTCAGTTTTGAAATACTATAATTAATTAACTATGCAACAATGGTAGCCCGATAAATCATACAAATATAACAGTGTTATGGAATGGACATAGGTTGTTTTTCATTAAAGTTTACAAAGCAGAATTGTAGGAGCAAAACTTAGCTTAATGAACTGTATTTTCGGCTTAATTATGCGGAACTTTTATAACTATGTGTCATAAGTAAATAACAATGCAACAAAGGTAGTCCAATAAGCTACGCATTGATAACATTGTGATAGCATGGATTTATGCCCGTCGTTAAGGAAGATAAAAAAGTATTGTAGGAGCAAAACTTGGTTAAATGGATTTATGCCCAGATGAAGTGTATAAAAATTTTATAACTATGCTTTCTAGACATAGATTCGAAATGCTATAACAACACAACAAAGTTAGTCTGATAAGTTACCCAGTGATAATATTGTAATGGCGTGGAATCACTCCGTTTTCTGTTGAGCTGGGTTGGATAGTGTATAAGAAAAGATTAGTAAAATAAATTTATGCTCGGCTGAAATGTGAGCTGAGTTATCTAGTTCTCACTTTGAAATAATGTTACTGAAAAACTATGCAACAATGACTGTCCGCTAATTCACACAGCGGAAATATTATATGGAGTCGTGCCTTTTTTTATTAGAGGGAATAAAGTAATATTTAAGGAGTAACACGAAGTTAAAATAATTTACGTTCGTCTGAAATTTGTTTGTAATGTCTATAATCATTATGCATTCCAAACTTTTATGGTATACTGAATGTATCGAAGATATCTAAAAAAAAATTAACTTAATATATTTTGATATTAAGTTATTTGCGCATTTTTTTTATAATTATATTATCTAATTATATATTTCAAATTATATAATAAAGGACTATGCAACAAACCATATGTGCCACCTAGCGGAAAGTGCCAGAACTAGACAACTCTTAAAACAATACTGCACATTAATTGAAAACATTAATTTTAATCATTTAAAATATTAATTTAAATTATCAAATTTTTATTACTAGTTGTTTGGATTCATCTTGTTTTACTGCAATTTTCATGAATTGTGAATTTAAAACCAATAGTAATATTGATTTAGATTAAATTTTTTTTAGTATGTATCTATCACCTTTCAAAAAATAAATTTTTACGGCCGTTATCTAGCAAACTACACTGTAAGTGAAAGTAATAAAATAACCATGTTCTAAAGGAGTTTATGACATTTTTTGTTACAATTAAATATTTCAATGAATTCATTTTAAATATTTCCAGAAAAATGAATTAAACCTTAAAATTACTTGATAATTGTCTCATCTTAATATTATCAAAGTTAAACTTTCTAAAAAAGTAATTAAAACAATAAAATTGAATATAAAGATAATTTCTTTAAGTTTCTTTTGTAATTTTCCCTATACATTTTTTCTTTAACATATAAATATAATCTCTAGCAGATTTTAGAGAATCATCCAAAACTGATTCTTGGTTGCGATAAATTCATATAATGTTACAAATTCACCAAATGGAATTTCAAACCGCATTTTTAATTTTAACGCTCAGGAATTTTGATATCTTCAACTGAAACTTTCACTAATTTCTGTAATTCCTAGCTAACTCACACGTCGTGGGAGAGAAACTAGTTTCTAAATTAATTTTATTTTCTTGCATTAACTCATTACGTCACGTTCATTCAAAATTTGATTTCGAGACTTTCTCCTTGTTTTGAATTGGAAAATCGTCTTGGGTATCTTTTTGTGTGTGGAATGATTATTTTAGTTAGGTAAATCATGATTAAAATTCTCAGCATTGTCAAAACTTACATTTCTCCAATTTCCTTTTGATCCAAGGGAATGCTTTCGCATGACAATTTTACTTAAGAAAAGGGGATGTTCTAATTTAATGACAAAGGCAAATGAAAGATTCTCCAAACATGTCATGGAATGGTTATTTTTCTAATAGGACACGTTGTTTATTCATTCATCGCATCTCAAAATTAAGCTTAAAATGCGACTAGTTTTGTGTAGCAAACTTATGTCAAGCAATGTGTAGCAAACTTATGTGTAGCAAAATTATGTAGCAAACTTCAATTCGCCAACTATGCCCGCCATATGAAGCCCTTTTGTTCCGTGCAACTGTATGCATTCCGTGCATGCTGTAGCTGAGAGGACTACTCGGACAATCTCTTGACCGGCTAAACAGGGTTTGAATCCCAGAGTTGAAACCACACTATTTCGTCGAATTTTTCAAAAGTTTATAGTGTCCAGCCCACTTCAATCGGGGACCCTAGACTGTTAGAATAGGAAACTATCATTCACGCATAAATGGCCACAGAGCTAAAAATGTACGTTTAAAGTTTTATTTTATGGTTTATGAACTAGGCTTGTCCTAAATAGCTACAAAAACAGTACATTTTTGTGTTTTGTACACAGATTTTTAACAGTACCTGTTGTAACTGGTTTTAAACCGTAAAGGTAAAGAAATGTGCCAAACCATAAACTTCATAGCTATTTGGATGGACAAACTGCTGCGGGTCATTTTACCATAATTTCAGAATGAAAATTCCAGCAGTGCACTTCGAAACTTGACGTACGGCAGCAAAACTGCAAAATCTCTCTAATATGACTACTTTCTCTAATTATGGACGTTCCCGTTACGGAAAGGATCTAGCATTCTCATAAATATTTAGTAAATAAATTTCAGAAAAAATCAAAAATCAAAATTTTATTTGCAAATTTTTTTTTTTAAAATAATATTTCTACCAAGCGTAAATAAAATACTGAAAAGACTTTTTGCTCAATATATTCCTACTGAAATGTTTCTAAAGTAAGTATTTTCTGCACAAAATGCAATTGTATTTTACGAAGTACTAATAATAATATTAATTATTTGTGATTGTGTGTTAATATTAGTTATGGTGTGATCATGGCTATAATTTGCATGCTTTTGCGTGTATGTACTTTCGTAATAATTGTGATTGCATTATAAGGCATCCGGAAAAGCCAAATTTGGATGATAATGGTGTACAAATGCTATTAGCTTGTTGAAAAAGTTTGAATTCGTACCACCATTTTTTAGAATCAAGTTTTATTTTGCATCATGTTAATAATAAGAAATTTTAAAAGCAAAAAAAGTTCCTTACCAATAGGCAAATACAAGATGTAATATGAAAGTATGGGCCACATATAAGAGGGTTGATCTTTAGTTTTACCTAGAAAAGAAATGAATAATGATATACATGTTTTTTTAAGCACAGAAAATAATTATTTTGTTAAAAACATAAAAATTCTAGCTACTTTATTCTCTTTTTAGCTCCATTGAACTAACGTTATTATGTACCTGGTTTAAAATACGCTTTTAAAAAATTCTTGAAAAGTACATAGTTAAAGATACATTAGATTCTAAACAAAAAGAGAAAGCTCATTTGTTATTACGAAACGTAGTTTTGATTCAAATTTTTGATCAAAGTAACATTTATCGTTAAAATTAAAAATTCAATGTCAATAGAGCAGACTATGAATGGATAAATAAATTAAGTAGAGTTGAATATAAAGTTAATATAGGATAAAGTTAGTATAAAGTTAATATAGTATGAAGCTATTATTAGAGTTCAATATAAAGTATAAAGTTATACAGAAAAATAGGTTGGAGCTGGTTAAACTACAAAAAAAGAAAAGCAAATTCCGTAATCTTAGTAGCATGATCAAATAGTGCTATAAACTAAGCTCTGACGCAAGAAACAGATAAAAAAAACTTATGGTTCGTGTTAGCTGTATTCAAGTGAAAGGGAAAAACCCTTTCTTAAGGGACGTCAAACTGTTCTTTATGCAAATATGGCATATTAATAATTAAACTAAATAAGCTTGTTAAACTTAACTGGATTGTTTTATTCAAAAAGAAAGAAAACTATCTCATAAGCTTTCACACGGACCTAAAAGAAACTGTCTTTTTGACATTGAGACTAACTAACAAAAATATAACTTAAAACATGCTGCCAAACAAAATACTTTTTTTTAATATAGATTTTGAGAAGATAAATCATAATATTTTGTTTGTTTTGAAACATCTTAAGAATTTATTTATATTAAAAAAAACATGTATATTAAGTGAATATAAAAAGCCTATAGATTCCATTCTATAGTGGGGTACTTTGTGAGGTATTCTATGACCCCACAAAATATGTACTTCTTCTCACCACAAGAGAACAGCTCAAAAACTTAAGTATATAAAATCGTTCATGTTTGTGAAAAGAGAAATTCTGGAGAGTAACTAATTTGGAAATCTATTTCTAAATAACATTCTTAAAACCCATCTACTGGGAAAGTAAATGAAAAACTTCAAGAATGCATTGAAAAACATCTAGATAATGAATTGTCGAAGAAAGTATAACAATGAATTAAAAAGCATTTTTGTTATACGCGGTTGTTGAACTTGAAACCCTGAA